TTAAACAACTACAAGTGTTTATTATAGTGTTTAATATTATTTTAATGTTGGCGCCTGAATTGCAAGTGAAAGGRCGCGGGGTAGGGCGTTATCTCTTTTCTATTTAAAATATATTTATGTGTAGCCGCGTGGYGCGTAGGTACACCTTCTAATATTATATCCGAATCAATAAACTATTTAAATACTCGAGTACTCACATTTTATAAATACTCTTGCATCCCCCTTCTGATCTTTTCACGATTCGAGCCATGTATGACTGTATACTATCTTACATATAGGGACATATTTTATAAAAAATCTATACGAATTCTGATCAATAAATTTGGTTTATCTACGATATCAGTCATAATTCATATTATCATATCATATATTAATGGGAAATTTTTATTTTAAGCACAATAATAGGTACTGCCAGCAGATAAGTATATAGTTAGTGACAATCATTTAAAATTTTGATCTATTTTACTTCACTCAATCCTGGGAAAAAGTTCGTCGTCCGATCTGGTCAGTGCGTGGAATTTGGAAGGATTATTAACTATTCGTTATTATAATAGTGTATTCAAAAGTATTCAAAATCTAGTAGTAGTGTCAGCGAGTTATCCGTCACTTGAGTGTTGTTTAAAGCAACGATTGAACTATGTTAAAGTACTCAACTACTTGAAGCTTTTATATTATATATATATGTTATGTACGGTATCTATAGTTATTATAGCTACTAGATTTGAATTAAACATAATTTAGTACTAATTGAACCAATTATTGATTTACCAATTATTACCTACGTCATAACTTTTAACGCATAACTTACTCATGATTATTAATAAATAAATCGTTTTGATGTGAAAAATAAACAAAAGATGAAAACGATGACGAAACGTTTGGAAATAATTATTATCTTCTTTAAAAGGACGCTACACAACCATTTGTTGCCTCCGTCTTACAAGTGCATAACATAACAAATTTACGCTCAGAAGATAATGTTTAGCACCCTTAGTATAAAAATTAGAGTGAATAGACCTATTATGAAAATCGATGTTAAGAACATTATCTCTGTTTGTATATGGACATGATATATATGTATATCATTTTTTTATGATAGTTCAATTTTGTAGCAAGTTATGCGTAAATAAAGAAGTGTAAATTAAAAATGCTCATAACTCACTTAAAAACTAAGTTATTGTAAGAAATTCACRTACAAACACAGATAATGTTCTTAACATCAAGTTTTATAATAGGTCAATTTACTCTTATTTTTAAACTAACGGAATTAAACGTGATCTGCTAAGCGTAAATTTGTTATGTTAAGCACTTGTAAGACGAAGATAGTAAATATATGTGTAGCGTCATCTTAAATTCGATTGTAAGTTGATGTGACATCATATGAATTATTATTATCTAACGAAAACTTCTTAAGTTAAGTTTCAACTTTCAACTACATTTATTACAAGCGGCAGTATACAATAATGATTATTGTAAAAAATAGTTTCGGTTAATATTATCGAACGAAATCTAAAATGTTATGCGATTGTTTAATTATTATAGTTGTAGATTATATACCTAATATTATTGTGCTTTTAAATTATGTACATTGTACAGCCTAGTGCATTAGTTAGGTATTTTACAGTTACACCTACAACATGAATGAAAACCGATTGATCAATTCGATTAAAAAAAACTCCTAAGTCAGTACAATTTTTATKTTTATTTAGGTACTTATTTTTATTCCATAACATCTGTCAATTGAGCTTGTGGCAATGAAGATTGTGCGATATTTTTTTATAYTTATATGTATACCTATTATTTTTTTTTAAAACACACTTTTGAATTATTTGTACGGTCGTAAATGTAGAGCATAATATAAACTATAAACGTTCATTGAAACTATGATTATATAATTATGAAATTTCGATAAAAATTGGCATTATAATTACTTATTATGATTTATTATTACTATGTGTAAGAATTAGGTGTTATGTAGAAAAAATAATTCAATTTGTTTGTCAAAACTAGGTACCTACATAAAACAGTAACCAAGCACGTATAACACTTATCATTAATCAACGCTTGTATACACCAATTTATATATTATTTTTAATTATAAATTATGTGAYTTCTAACAAGTGCAATGTAAGGTAATAATTGAAAATGTACATTGTTAGTCATCCTTTGTAGAGTAATATATACTTAAGTGACAAATACATTGTGGGTTTCTCATAACAGCTTTTCGGAAATTTTTTACGTCCGCGATGATATCAAATCTAATAAGTACGAACAAGTTTTATTGAAAACTTACATGATCACGCAAACGTTAAAAATATTGGAGTTGTTTGGTGGCTTATTACCATAAGGTAAATAATATATTATTATTATTCTTATAGTATACCGTTTCGAAATGATTTGAAACCACAAGGAAGCCCTTAGAATAATTAATAGCTAATATCAATGTTTTTCGCAAATAATCAAAGTTTTAAACGATCAATTTATATATTATGTAGTATACTATTATTTTATTAATCATATATTAAACAGTTATGTCTTACGTTAGGTCTCAAGAGACTAGTCTTGTTGATGACAGATTTATGAATAGTTCAAATCTGAAGTGTGTCCCTACRTGGGGTAGGTAATGGGCAAAATGAAAATCGAAATACGTTGGTGTGATTGATCGATACCACGTGACGTGATGTGATTGATTACTCGAACATGTCGTGATAAAATCCCGTAATCCTACACAAAACGAAATGACAAACCGAAATGTTTGATGGCTGATCAGCAATTTCCGTCCGAATGGCACAAAAGACAAAACACTTAGTTCAGAGTTAAATTTATAATATCGTTGTTACGGGTACCTATAAAGTTGGTTTGATTAGCACCCGGCTGGAATATTATTGTATTATCATATACACCGCGGACGCTATTGCAATGAAGTTATATCGTAATGAATCATGATAGGAAATATTAAGTTCTATTCAGAAAGTAACAATGTGACACATATTACTAACTAAAGCCTATTTAATAAAGGTTGCATACGTATGAACGGTTGAAAATAATTGGATCATTGGATGGTGTTCGTACGTTATACAAGATATGGACGTGGTAATACTATATTAATGTGTTCCTACATGTATACCTTAAGTACCTATCTATTTAAAATTTAAATATAATAGATTCGTTGTACAGAGATTTTTGTTGTACGTATAAGTATAATAGTTATGTACGTTTAGTACGTTTAGTACGTTTAGTACGTTTAGTACGTTTAGTTAGTGTACTATATTATTATTTAGGTAGACTCAGTGCCGTGTTAATAATGGGTGGGAATGAGGGTCTATTGCTCGGGGTGGACATTTTTGAAAGGAAATGGCAGTATTTTTTTATCGAGTTTTATTTTAAATTACATTTCTACGTTCCATAAAATATTGCTTTAAAACAATATATTTTCAAAAATTAAATTAGAAAATTGCACACTATTATTTAGTAGACGTACCTATATAATTTTCTAAACATTAATAATATTAAATTGACTCAATTCATAACAATGTGATTATTACCCATCACTTATAATTTTTGTGATATGTCTGTAAGAGAATAAACTAGGCACCGAGAATAAATAAGTGTACTATACGAAGTTAGAATGGTTAGAATTTACGATGGAGGTGTGATGGTGTGAAATTCAAATCAATTTCGTACATATAATATTATGTGATTATTATTGTGCGTGTCAATCCGGCCGCCCACCGAAAGTCATGTGTACATGGGCAGTCATACTTTGTTGTCAGGTGAGTGAGGTATAGCGTATACAATACAATATTTATATAACATAACAACTAAATATAGATAAACTAGGTAGTAGGTAAAGTAAGTATAGGTATATGGCCGAGCTTGAAATCGTTTTTAAATACGTACCTATCGATAAAAGTCGTTAAAATCTTCTGAAAAATTATATTAACTATAATAATGTTAAAATAAAATGAAATTGATTATTAATAATTATTTTATCAAAATAAACACCGTTTTATAGTGTAATAATGTAATAATAATTTTATAATTTTATAATGTATATTTTATTTTATAGATGAATAGATTAAATTTGATAACAATTTAAAACTCAATAACAGCTAATTGATTTATGATACTTTTCATTAGTRAAGTTGTAATTATTAATTACTTATATTTCAGTTTCTAAGGATCGTTTAAGCCACCCTTAACGTCGCGTTTGGAACGCGTGAACGATGATCGTGCTCGTAGGCAGAGATAAAAATTGAAATGGTAAAAATGTAAAAGTGATATTTTTTTGGGAATAAAGATAAAAATGTTTTAAATAAAAATCGTAAACATCAAATTTAGATTTTAAGCATCGGCACATTGGACACATATTATGATATTATTATTATTATTAATACGACGTCGTGTTTTTTTTTTTTATCCATCTCATAGGACGTTGAGAAAGTTGACTTTCTTCTGCATGGCTTTCTGTTCGCCGTCCAATAGCACGGAATCCGTGATCGGCGAACTTCCCAGGTTTTCCAGCAGCCTTCTGCTCCTGGTCGGCATGTCTGGCAACAGCGGCATGGCGTGTGGGGGCGTGTAATCACCGGCCACGCAGCCGGCCGCCGCCGAGCCGTACTCGCCACCGTAGACACCACCACGGCGCGCGTAATCCTCGGCGGCCGCCGCAGCAGCCGTCCGGAATGTGGACGCGATCCGTTCCATGGACCGTTCCTCGGCTATCTTTTCGGCCGCGCGCGCAAACACTTGACACTCGTCCTCGGTCATCGGCCGCCGTCCCGCGTAGCAGCCACCTGTTGTATACGATAAATGCACAAAACGCCCCCGTCACGCTTTCCCATGTCGGTTCCACTTATAGGTACGTTATATATATACAGTAGAAATCGAGAGTATTATTATTATTATTATTATAYAACGAAAATTTCAKGGACGTATTTGGGGGTGAATGGTGGGGAGGGTTTGAATTTTTTAGCCAATTTAGGGACCGGTAAATTTACAATATTGTCTTGTATGTTATAGTTATTATGATTTTAAGTTATAATCTGTTAAAAACAATTATTGCGGTTCAAAAATATATTTAMTCACATCAGTTTGTCGGAAAATAACATCCAAAATACCATTAAACTATTATTAGGCACTATGACACCGTCTATTTAATGAAGTTCAATATTAAGATTTAAGGTAATCCGCGATCTTGACGCTGTGTTGACAGTGGCCTTTGTATCAGTCGTAAATTATAATTAGTGTAAGTGCGGTTGTGTTAGGTTAGTATCGGGTATTCCACATAATATCAACACCGCAGACCAAAAATGAAAAAGTAATTTTTTTACTACAAACACGCATTAAAMAACGTCTTATCGTTGAGTGGTCTGATTTCATTARTATTATTTATTTGATTTGCTAAAGAGAGGATTATTTTTTAAAAAGCACATTGTATTTAGATTATTCACGTTGTTTACAACAAAAATATAAATTAAATAAGCAGAATGTTGTAAAAATGTATTATGTTATGTTTTAAAAATGCATCCTWTAAGGAGTCTATTTTTTTTCTGAAAAAAAAATTTATCAAAATCTGATTACTTTGCGTGACGTTTAAGTTTTTTCTGTAAGAAATGTTTTGATTAAAAAACATATCGCGTAACATAATATTATCTATAATGTAAGATTTGTAGAGTAACTAATAGATAAAGTATTTATATTTATTATTTATAGATAAGTCATTATAAAATAATATTAAATTTGTATGATCATAATTTACAGCAAATTATGACACATGTGTGTATGGTGAACCTATCTATAATCTATATATTATAATATTATATTACCGAGAGTACCATTAAAGAGATGATTCAATGTTCTGTGGACTAAAAATGTTTATATCAAAATAGTTCTATCGTAGATTTTAAGGAATATTTATTTTATTTTATTTTTTTCGAGGGGTGTCAAAAATATGTTRTTCCGGGGCATACAAATACGGCTATGGACACTATCAATTTCGTGATCCAGATCAGCCGACTTCTGATAAACCAAATTTCCGGTAATCCACAGTAAATGCCAAGTTAAATATCACAGTAATTAGAATATAAACAATGCATTTAGGCACACTTTATAAGTAAAATTTTGGGCATAGCAACGGCAGCGTAACGAGCATCACTTTTACTTTCTATGAACTCCATATATGACCTCTGAAAGGTTAAAATCACACATCATAAAATACATTACATTTTTCATAACTATCTCGATGATTCAAAATTATAATTTTTTTTAGCTCATCGTTATTTGAACCTTATTTCAGCAAATCGAACACTTAATTCTTTGATTTTTTTTCATAATTATTCACTCCACTTTTAATATTGAGGGTCGACTATATTGAAGATTATTGGTTAGTGTGATTTTAATTTACTTATATTTCAGATAAGATCATCGGACTTCGTTACAATATAGGTATGAGTCGGTTAAGTTGGTTAAATTGGAGAAAATTCAATAGAAACCATTTTTTTTTTTGTTTTTTTTTAAGGATAGTTAATTAGCATATTTATACATAATTAATATTATCAAACAATTTTAATACTCTTATTCCACAACTAATGGACATATTATCATCATTTTTTTAAAATATTACAGACTATAGGTTATAGTATACGATATTATTATGTAGACTAAGACAATCATTTTTTTTTACCGTCCCTCTAATTACCGATTTCTACTGTACATATTATGTATGAATTCATGCAATGTAAATATACATATTATTAAATAATATAATAAATATAAACATAATATTATACTATACAAATTTATAGTTAATAAAAGCTATGTAACACACGCACACGCACACGCACATACACGATACACCTCAAACATAGTGAAGGTACATATAATGGCGCGGAGAGTTTTTTCTTCAAGTCAACTTTACTTAAATATTTAATTAAGGTTTTTATGGACGTTTTCAACATCATGCAAAGGTAATATATTATCGTAATTAATATGTACCTATTTAATATGTATGACCACCGTACTAGAATCTTGAGTGGAAACTTTGAAAACTTTGGCTACATGCTGTATATTGACAGTAATAATATATTGCACAAACTTCCCCGAACGTCACTATATTATATACGTAACCAATAATCGGATACCTATATTATTTTATCCATGCTGGTTTAAGTAACGCTTAACCCAACCTATGTGCCCACCTCTATTAAGTTCATCAGACTATATATAATATTATCCTGTTTTTACCATTGATGTTGTTTCAAAAACGTATAGTAATTATTGATTATAAATAAAATACTTAGGACTTCAAATATTATTAGGAAGCACCAGTAGCGTATAAAGGATTTTAGTTCAATCACAAGTTAAGGTTTTACATGAGTAAATAATTTACATCACTTTTTGCTAAACAGTTTTTATATAATTAGGTATAAAAATTATAACAAATGATAAATTAACAATTTATTTTATATCTCTTAAAAATTTCCAACAGTTGATCGACTTGGTGAATTTAAATGGTGGTAAATAACATTTTTTTGTAAAAGGGAGACATTTTAGGGGGAGGGGGGTCCGAACCCATAGAACCCTACCATTGCGTACGCTACTGGGAAAAACGTAAACTCAATTCACCTAGTTAAAATATGTACGRTGGCAGATATTCGGAGTTTAATATATTTATTGTATTATAACGGCATTCCAAAAGCATTTATTATCATCAGTGATAATTTTCTCAGCTCGTCAATTTCCTATCATATTATAATTATCACCTGAAACGTAGCCACGTAGTTTTTTTTGTGTATATATTTTAATTTAATTTTTAGTTAATTATAATTTGATAATTATTGTAAGAGCATTAATGTAAGCATTTTAATGCCAGACCAAAAATAATTTTAAACACATATTATTATTTTCGGGTGACACGAATTTTGTATATTATRATTCTTGGATCTACAATATCGAAAACTTTAATTTATCAATAAAAACAAGTCGTAAATTATGTGAAAAAACACAGTTTTTTACCATTGCAAAAAGAAAAACAAATTATACTATAATAAAAATAGAGTTTAATACATCATGGTTTATTTTATTGTCACAATATTCAAGGCGTACGCTAAACTATATTATTTATTAACTACCATCCGTTTTATGATTGAAACGTGCACCGATATGAAATCCGCGGAATAACCACAATATAATAGATGGTCATACGTATTGACTAGCTTAATTAAATATTTATTATTTATTATTATACCTCTGTGGCATTGTATGTTATATTTTTTTGTAAAACWTTAAATCGTTTGATTTTAGTGCACAAACTATGCATGATATCTATATCTATATCATATCTATAAATATATGTAAGGTATAATATTATACTATTATAATAAGTACTTTTCAAAATTCCCCGTCATAAGAAGAGTATATTATGATATATATCATAAATAGATCAAGCTCATATTATATAGAAAATGGAGACGATATCCAAAAAAATATGTATATACGTTCATTAGAGGGTGCGATGATCAATACAAGTGCAATATCATGTGGCCTGAACCTTTTTTCTTCTGCCATTATAGAAATTKTGTAGAAAATCGTGAAAAAAAATACGACCCTCACTATTATAAAAGGTAGGCGATAAGTGAAATATATAATATTACACACATGTTTTTACTATAATAGAGTAAAAGATGTCGTCTCCAAAACGATCGAAGACACTATTTCGATGAGAATTTTATTATGTGGATATAATAATATCACGTATCGTACCTGCTTATATAATAATATAGAATTTATCGTTCAGCGTTTTATAATATTAAAATATTATATCGTAACACAATATAAGATACCGTTATACCTACATTGATGACAAAGAAATGGATACAGTATTCCCGTCTTCCTAACCCTTCATACTCAATCGAGCCAACACAATCGAGATAGAAACAATATTGTTTAGGCTTATAAATACACAAAGAAACTATAACATTCGGATAAGTGAAAAAATATAGCGATGTTTTAGTGGTTAAAAATGCGGTATCAGTTGTGTTGGCTTACAGATTTGCATACAGATACAATACCACAGGTATCAAAATAAATTTAACATCGACGAACACAATATTTATCAGTAAAAAAACATCACTGTGTCTAAGTTAGGTGGTGTACATATACCCGTTATTCGTCAATAATAGGCAATATTTAAATAAACGAACAATATAATACACAGCTATTCGCCCAATCCTAAGTATCACCTAAATAATATTTTCCTAGCAACATTAACACCTAGCTACCTAGCTATAAACTATAAGCAATAATATTATAATATTAAAATCGCACCATACCTAACGATGATAATATATATATACCGTCTGGTATGCGHATAATATTAATTGGTATGTATAATTAGAGATGGGAAATTTCACCGATATTATTTTTACTAATGCCCACTGGTTATAATATTACATGGTATAATCAATCATAAATCTATTATTATTATAACCCTTACAAAAAATTACGCTTGACATTTTCACGGTAAAACTTCCATCACCTATCATCACATACCTAATAATATTATATTGTATTATAATTGAAAATATTAAAATGCCATCACACTTGTGTAAGTATAATATTTTTATGTTATTATTAGGAATGTTTAGGGTTAACGGTATTGCAACCGGTATTTCAGTATTTGATCCAGTACCACGGTATGGAACAGTAGATACACCGTACAAGCAGTATATGCATCGGAAAAAAGCAGTGATTCCGACACATAGCTGTAAACGTATAACCATGTGGATCGATTAACCGCGGATACCATATAAGAAACCAAACCGGTATCGAAAAGACCGTCAACCCTAAGTATATCGCGTATATCTTATAGATTTGTTTTCTTATATACCTGCAGCGGATAGCGACGGCAGCATGGACGTCGAATACTCGTGTTCGGCGTTCTCGCGGATCCGGGCCAGGCGCAGCAGCTCCTCGTGCAGCCGAACGTTGTCTTCAATCTGCCGCCGACGCCGAGCGATCTCCGCCTTGATCCTGGCCTTTTTCTCCTCGCGCTGCAACTCTTCGTCGTGCTCCTCCTCGGCAGCCAGCGCCGCCAGCGATTCGTAGTCACCGATTCCGACGCCG